ATTACTAAAATCTTCAACATTCCCAGTCATTGATCAATTCATTGAATTAATGACTAATACCTGTAATATCTGTTTTACATTTGTTAACATTGACTATTTTGTTTTGAAGAAAAGAATTTGCTCTTTTAGAGTATGGAACTACATAGTTTTTATCATTACAAAAAACTGGAGTGAGTTCCCCTTGTAAAAATAATGTTTTTCTCATTAACGTTTCATTTCCGAGATACAGGGTGCTAAAGTTGTGACTTTGAAAGTGTTTTTCTTAATTGTCTTTAAATCGGCTAACTATAAAAATGTCAAAATTTGTACACAAATAAATATTAGTTGCATCTTAAGAAGATTGAGAAAGGCGTTTTATTCCCAATAGCGTAGATACGAGTAGTTTGAGAGATATAATTGGAAAGGAAAAATATGTTGAGTCAGTCACTCCACAGCTATTGAGAATAAAACTATTGACAGGTTTTCCTTAATACACAATTGATTGATGTACAAATTTTGACATTTTAATCTTTACCCGATTTAAAGATAATTAAGAAAAACCATTTTCAGTGTTGCAACTTCAACACCCAGCAACGTTAATGAGAAAAACGTTACATGAACTATTCCCATAATTTTTCCAAGAATTCAGTCCACAGTTTTTTTAAGTGCACCTTGCATGCATTTTACAAATACCAAACGAAAACTGCAAAGTAATATTTATATTTAAATAAAACGATGTTCAAATGCACCGTTACACGTATTTTAGAAGTATTTTTTAAATATGTACGTGAGAAATGAATGCTAATTTCATATTATTCATGTGAATTTGTGAATATACCTACATACATTGCATAAGAAGAGATATGATGCTTCAAAAGAACGTGCTATACCATTTTCGTTGAGAATTGCAATCGTTAGTGCATGTCCCAATTATTTAGTTAGATGTGTGTGAAGTAAACATAGGAATCAGTGGATCGCAGTTACGCTTGACAGTCACTGAGCAGTTTAGTGGTCGTGTCGGTAACAGCTATCAGTGTGGGAGCAAAATGATTGAATCATTGGAGTAATTTGTTACACATTGTTGATTTTGCATAGCCGCTTTTATACTCGATTGAGATAGGTCACCTGATGGAATATTTTGCGATGAATTCATTCAATACCGCGAACATTTTTACTACAACTCGTTTGTAGATTCGTATATATTATTTTGAAATAGAAACTCATATGCCTCTTAATAAAATTTGAAAATATAGATTTCTGTAAACCTAATTAGTAGAGTACAGGGTGGTGACTCTTTTATCGCAAATTGCTTCTTTGCTATTAAAATAATTCAAGGCGACAAGATGTAGACATGTGACAAGAACAGACTCGTAATCTGTAATCAGAAAAACAATTGTACCTACATATACTAGATACCGATAACAATTTAGAATAAAATAAGATTTAAAAATGAGAATGAGAAGTGACTTAAAAAAAATTAAAATTATATTTTTTTGAGACTTTGAGACACAAGAGACACAAGGTCGGTCAAATTACGTCAAGTTATAGAATTCAATGAAGAATTCAGGAATTTATTCCATCATTTTTTATTTCAAATTGCTAATATAAAACTTGCAATTGTGATTTTAGCGTTTACAATTTTTTTAACTGAACTTTAAGATAGGTGAAAACTTAGACACTTTTTTTTTTGGAGAAATCAAATATGTTGTCGTATCAGCAGTGAGACCTATCAAGATGGAGGAAAATATATTCAACTATAGTTTTCCTTATAAGTGCCATATTAAATTTTCACATTTTTCATTTCAATGAAGTTTTTCATTACGATTATGTTTGTTGGGAATAGAACATTTGTGTGCCGCGTGTGTGCTCGCTGGAGATCTTTTGCGTACGTTTCAGTATCAAGTGCCTGGATGAAAGACGAGGGTGGCAAGAGAACGCTCCGAGCCGGCAGTATGCGTGCAATTATCAGTGAGAGTGCACGACCATAATCAAAAATAAATACAAAATTCACTGTATTGTCTGTAAAAACGAAAATAAAATAACTAACTACAGTCCACCAGCAGTTTCAATATCAAACATGGTCCATTCGAGCCGGATGATGTGCTAGAAGAAGAAAACGTTTTTGGAGACGAGCAACAGGTGTTATTGCCGGAGCCGGCCATGTGAGAGTCGCCGCGTCGAGTAGCATTAACTACGAGTTTCAGCGACCATCTTCCCGGTTTCTCAGGGCGAGAAAAGCAGTTAAGTTGCAACAAAAGAGAGTTGTTGGATGCCACAATCAGCAAGGGGTGAGTCATATCCTTTTCAATTTCCTATTATTAGTCCTATTATTTTGTTCCTATAAAAATAAAAAGGAGGTCTATCTGGCAAGTCAAGTTTGCACTATAATTATAGGGAGAAAGGTATTTCCGATTTCTCTCTCACAATTTCAATATGGAGTCTCAAGACGAAATCAATAAATTAATCCGTAAACGGATATCCATAAAAGCATCTTACACAAATGCAAGAAAGGCTCCGTAGAGCACAACAATTTTTTGATGAATTTATTAGCATTCAAAATGAGATATAATCCATTGTGGATGATCCAACGGAACAGTATTTGCAGCGGGCGAGTTTCGAGGATGAATTTTATGACATAACGTCAATTGCAAAAAAATTGTCGGAGTTTTCAGTGGAAAGCAATGACGCTGCAAGCAATCATTCTGGATCGGAAGCAAATGACGGTTCTTTTACAAAAATACATGGGGTAAAATTGCCAGTGATAGATTTACCAAAATTTTCTGGCAAGTTTGAAGAATGGCTTGAATTCCGCGAGACCTACAAATCCTTGATTCATGAAAGTCGAGCCATTTCAAAAATTCGAAAATTCCACTATCTAAATGCATCTATACCTTTGCCTGGTAGAATCCCACTTAACGTATAGAATTTTAGGATGGGGTGGTGTGTTAGATAGTCACTTACAAAACTTGGAGGTGTTGCAAAAAAGAATTCTAAAAATAATATTCAATAAAGATGTCACTTATCCCTCTGATGCACTGTTTAATGATACCGGTGTTATGGATATACGGTCACTTTTTTACCATCAGTGTACATTGCATCAGTGGAAATTAAATGTAAAAACTATTTCCGTAAAAATGACTAGAGGAAATGCAAATAGCAATCTAAGAGTTCCTAGAATAAAAACAACTTGCGGACAACGATGCAGACGTATCTCAGTATAAAAGCATATAACTCGCTACCTGTTACCCTTAAATATATGACTACCCTTAAGCAATTCAAAATCAAAGCTAAACTATATATTTTAAGTAAATCCAGAAAACAAATTTATGACATTATAAATCCAAAACAGAGATATAATACATTGTTTTAGTTTCTGTCATCGGAGTTTCATATATTGCGTAATAACCACTTTTTTTTAGACCAATCTTTTTTTTTACATATGCATAATGGAAAAATTTTTGTATAATGTGTACATTTTGTGTACTTTTATTGTAATCATAACTATTATGTTTCTAAAGATAATTTAAGTGCAAATTGTATTTTTTATTTTTTAACAGTGCATGTGCACTTATATGAAGTTTTGTGGTTTATTTGCAAACTTGCCTTTTTACTGGTGACTATGTTTTTTGTATTTTTTTAGTAAATAAACCCTATTCTATTCTATCTCTTGTGGGGGTGCTGCCCAGGTTATTAAAGGAGTTGAGTTCTCGCAACAAGGTTACGATGACGCGTGGGAAACACTCTGTGAACGATATAATAACAGTGATATGTTAATTCACAATCACATTAAAGCTTTATTCGGTCTAGAATCTTTGCACAAGGAAACGTCCTATTATATTAGGAGATTTATCGATACCATAAATCAGCAATTATTGTGTTTAAAAAAATTGGGTGAACCAATAGATTCATGGGACACAATGCTAATATTTTTAATCGTGTTAAAATTAACCGGAGACGGGTTACAAGAATGGGAAAAATTCGCAAAGGAATTAAAAAACGTCCAACGCTAAACAATGTAAAAGAATTTTTACGCGATAGGGCTGACTATTTAGAAAAATTAGAAACGAAAGGTAGAAATAAACAAAATTCAACAAATACATGGGACAAGCAAATCACTAGAGGGTTGCTCACTACATGTAATTACGCATGTAACTTTTGCAAAAAGGCGCATAATATTAATTCCTGCGATGAATTTGCAAAGCTATCCATACAGGAACGAGTTCAATTCGTTGAAAAATCAAATTTATATTTAAACTGCCTAAGAGGGGGACATAATGCCAAAAGGTGTAGGTTAGGTTATTGCAGAAAATGTAATAAGTGGCACAATACGCTCCTACATCTTGACGAGCCAAACGCGAGCGCCAATGAAAACAAGGAAAAATGCGAACCACCTGAGGCTGCAATTAGTACGAGTGTTTTTGAATCTCGCGTAAAATATCCCCGTGACAATTACGTATTTTTATCAACGGCCTGCGTAAATGTAGAGTATGTAAAATAAGATGTATCAAGTACGTTGTTTGCTGGATTGCGGATCCCAGTCATCCTTTATAACTTCAAGTATGTGTCAAAAGCTCGGTTTAAAAAGAGAAAGCGCAAATGTAACAGTATCAGGCATATCCAGTAATCTATTACATGTACAAGATAAATGTCAAGTAACAATGAAATCATTGTGTACCAATTATCAAACAAATTTAACATGTTTTGTTCTGCCTGAAATTACAGATACATTACCCAGTAATAAAAAAATATATCTAAAATCATTGTGCCAAAAGAAATTTTGTTAGTGGATCCTGAAATTAATAAACCAGCAAAAATCGATATTTTTATCGGTGCGGATCTGTTTTCCAATTAAAATTTCCAATGGTAGCAACAAAGCGATATTTCAAGAAACAAGGCTGGGTTGGGTGGTATCAGGGCCAATGGGCTCATCATTTAAAAACGATACTAAGCGCATGGTAAACACGGTCCCAATAGATTTACATAGAGTCAATTCAAAATTTTTGGGAAATAGAGAACTCAATATGCCAAAGCGGATGTCGGACGAGGAAATTGCTTGTGAATCGAGTTTCCGCGAAAATACGCGTAGAGCATCGCATGGCAGGTTTATAGTATCAATGCCACTTAAACAACCACCTCAATGTTTAGGCGAATCACAAGCGCAGACAATAAATCGCTTCTACAGCACAGAGCGCAAATTGGCAAAAAATCCAAAATTAAAGGAACGTTATGTAGAATTTATGGGAGAATGCGAAAAATCAGGTCATATGAGCTTAGTAGAAAATAACGTGGGAAATATTGAATATTTTATGCCACATCATGGAGTTGTGCGCGAGGAAAGCAAAACTACGAAACTCCGCGTTGTTTTTGACGCAAGTGCTCCCTCTACTAACGGAATATCTCTAAACAATATACAAAGGGTAGGGCCGGTCTTACAGGATGATTTATTTTCAATACTTCTCAGATTTCGCAAACGCACCTATGTCATTTCAGCGGACATTGCTAAAATGTACCGACAGGTGCTGATAGAACCGGGACAAAGGTGTTTGCAAAAGATAATTTGGCGACCAAATCCTTCTGAGGCGCTTAAAATGTATTCTTTAAACACAGTGACGTATGGTCAGGCATGTGCAAGTTTCCTGGCGATACGTTGTATTTTCGAGCTCGTGCGCGAATGTGAGGCCAATAAGCCCAAGATAGCGGATATTATTCGTCGCAATTTCTATGTAGACGACTTGCTAACCGGAGCAGACACCGCGATGGAAGCGTTGCAAATCGCAAACGATGTTTATAAAGTTTTAAAATCGGGAAGTTTTGAACTGCGAAAATGGTATTCCAATCAACCTGATATAATCAAGAACCTAGCTGGCGGTACCGACTGCGGAATATTAGAATTTGCTTCCGACGAGAATACAAAAACTTTGGGTTTAATATGATCATGCCACTCGGACGTGTTGAATTATAATATAAAAAATTCTTTCGAAGAAAAGGCTACTAAGCGATCAGTCTTATCAATCATCGCAAAAATCTTTGACCTGTTGGGATTAGTGAGTCCTTGCACAATAATTGCTAAAATGCTAATGCAAAAATTATGGGCCGCAAAATTATCCAGGGACCAACCATTGCCTGGTCCATTGATGACTGCCTGGGTCAGATTTCAGGCAGATCTACCCAATTTAAACAGCCTAGAAATACCACGACATGTTGTGTGCCCGGCATACACAAATATACAATTGCATGGATTCTCGGACGCTTCCGAACAAGGTTATGATGCCTGCGTGTATATACGAAGTACAAATAGAAGCGGGGAGTTATTTGTGCGTCTGCTATATGCTAAAGCAAAGGTCGCGCCTTTCCAATCGCTCACTATACCGCGATTAGAATTATGTGCCGCGCTTCTTTTGGCCAAACTAGTCGAGAGCGTGACAAAATCCACAAACATGAACTTTAGTTGTGTAACATATTGGTCGGATTCCTCTATCGTATTGGCTTAATAAAAACAAGCTCACACCTACTAAAAACATTTGTTAGCCATCGAGTTTGCACAATACAAAAAATAACGGATTTCGGGAATTGGCGCTATGTTCCAACTTAGATAATCCAGCCGATTTAATTTCTCGAGGTTTACGCCCAAGCCAATTATTGGACTCCAAATTGTGGTGGCATGGACCGGATTGGTTATGGTCCTCNACGGTCCCAATAGATTTACATAGAGTCATTTCAAAATTTTGGGAAATAGAGGAACTCAATATGCCAAAGCTGATGTCGGACGAGGAAATTGCTTGTGAATCGAGTTTCCGCGAAAATACGCGTAGAGCATCGGATGGCAGGTTTATAGTATCAATGCCACTTAAACAACCACCTCAATGTTTGGGCGAATCGCGAGCGCAGGCAATAAATCGCTTCTACATCACAGAGCGCAAATTGGCAAAAAATCCAAAATTAAAGGAACGTTATGTAGAATTTGTGGGAGAATACGAAAAATCAGGTCATATGAGCTTAGTAGAAAATGACGTGGGAAATATCGAATATTTTATGCCACATCATGGAGTTGTGCGCGAGGAAAGCAGAACTACGAAACTCCGCGTTGTTTTTGACGCAAGTGCTCCCTCTACTAACGGAATATCTCTAAACAATATACAAAGAGTAGGGCCGGTCTTACAAGATGATTTATTTTCAATACTTCTCAGATTTCGCAAATACACCTATGTCATTTCAGCGGACATTGCTAAAATGTACCGACAGGCGTTGATAAAACCGGGACAAAGGTGTTTGCAAAAGATAATTTACGACCAAATCCTTCTGAGGCGCTTAAAATGTATTCTTTAAACACAGTGACATATGGTCAGGCATGTGCAAGTTTCCTGGCGATACGTTGTATTTTCGAGCTCGTGCGCGAATGTGAGGCCAGTAGACGACTTACTAACCGGAGCAGACACCAACGATATTTATAAAGTTTTAAAATCGGGAAGTTTTGAACTGCGAAAATGGTATTCCAATCAACCTGATATAATCAAGAACCTAGCTTGCGGTATCGACTGCGGAATATTAGAATTTGCTCCCGACGAGAATACAAAATCTTTGGGTTTAATATGGTCATGCCACTCGGACGTGTTGAAATATCAAAAATTCTTTTGAAGAAAAGGCTACTAAGCGATCAGTCTTATCAATCATCGCGAAAATCTTTGACCCGTTGGGATTAGTGAGTCCTTGCACAATACTTGCTAAAATGCTAATGCAAAAATTATGGGCCGCAAAATTATACTGGGACCAACCATTGCCTGGTCCATTGATGACTGCCTGGGTCAGATTTCCGGCAGATCTACCCAATTTAAACAGCTTAGAAATACCACGACATGTTGTGTGCCCGGCACACACAAATATACAGTTGTTTGGACGCTTCCGAACTTCCGTGCATGCGTGCATATACGAAGTACAAATAGAAGCGGAGAGATATTTGTGCGTCTGCTATGTGCTAAATCAAAGGTCGCGCCTCTCCAATCGCTCACTATACCGCGATTAGAATAATGTGCCGCGCTTCTTTTGGCCAAACTAGTCGAGAGCGTGACAAAATCTATAAACATGAACTTTAGTTGTGTAACATATTGGTCGGATTCCTCTATCGTATTGGCTTGAATAAAAACAAGCTCACACCTACTAAAAACATTTGTTAGCCATCGAGTTTGCACAATACAAAGAATAACGGATTTCGGGAATTGGCGCTATGTTCCAACTTACGATAATCCAGCCGATTTAATTTCTCGAGGTTTACGCCCAAGCCAATTATTGGACTCCAAATTGTGGTGGCATGGACCGGATTGGTTATGGTCCTCTTGCTGGCCGCCTAGCAAGCAGGATGAGGTAGAAATTTCGGAATTAAAATATGTAGTCACATCCATGCTAGCTAGCTTTCAGACAAATTTCATCTTTGACCGCTTTTCAGAATTTTCCAAGTTACAACGAGTTACTGCCTATTTATTGAGGTTCAAGAACAACTGCCTACGTGAGCGTAAAACAGGGCCCTTAAATGCGCAGGAATTAAACAGTGCCATAAAATGTTTAGTCGCAATTGCACAGAAGGAAATGTTTCCTGACGACCTGCATTCACTTATTCCGTAACGAAGGGATAAGGGTGGGTGGAAAACTTAAAATTTCCGATTTCAAATTTGAAAAGAAGCATCCTTTGCTTCACGATTCCAAACATAACTTTACGAAAATGTTATTTAAACATGAGCATATCAAGCTTTTACATGCTGGTCCTCAACTTTTGCTATATACAATTAATACGTAGTAAATATTGGCCAATCAACGGGCGAAATCTAGCCAGAATAACAACAAGACAATGTCTGAAATGTTTCAGATTTAAACCTAAAATTGTAGAACCCATAATGGGAAACCTTCCACAAGAGCGTGCGAATCCATCAAGTCCATTTACTATAACTGGCGTCGATTATGCCGGACCCTTTTTAATAAGAGATCGTAGGACTCGTGGATTAAAACTAGAAAAGTGCTATATCAGTGTTTTTATATGTTTCAGTACACGCATTATTCATTTAGAGGTCGTCTCAAGTTTATCAACCGATTCCTTTATTCTAGCGCTCAGACGTTTTGTTTCTCGTAGAGGCAAACCCCTTAAAATTATTTCCGACAATGGTACGAATTTTGTCGGCGCTAAGCGTGAACTTATCAGATTTCTTAACACAAATGAGACCGATATTTTAAGTAAATGTTCCGATGAAGGTATTAATTGGCAATTTCTACTTCCATACTCCCCCCATTTTGGTGGTCTCTGGAAGGCTGGGGTCAAAAGCCTTAAGCATCACTTAAAACGAGTTTTAGCTGAGTCCAAATAAACCTTTGAAGAATTTGCAACGGTTACTACCCAGATAGAGTCCATTTTAAATTCCAGACCAATTTCTCCTTTATCAAGCGACCCAAACGACCTTATCCCCCTAACCCCGGCTCATTTCCTCATCGGAAGGCCCGTGGTTTCTGCTTCTAACGAGAATGTTACCGACATCAAGAGTAATCGACTTCCAATTAATTCAGAAAATGTGCCAGCATTTTTGGAGAAGATGGTCAGCTGAATATATCTCTGAATTGCAACAGAGATCAACATGGAAATCCACACAGGGACAACTTCGTGAGGGTGCTTTGGTTCTCCTCAAAGACGACCTGGCAAGGCCTACCTAATGGAAATTGGTTCGAGTGCAGCAGTTGCATTTCGGTAGTGATGGGATCGCGCGAGTAGCATCCGTGAGAACCAAAAGCAAAATAGTTAAACGTAACTTTTCTAAGCTTTGTCCTCTTCCCAAAGACTGTTGAAAGTGGGTACTTTCAAGACGGGGGGCATGTTGGGAATAGAACATTTGTGTGCCGCGTGTGTGCTCGCTGGAGATCTTTTGCGTACGTTTCAGTGTCAAGTGCCTGGATGAAAGACGAGGGTGGCAAGAGAACGCTCCGAGCCGGCAGTATGCGTGCAATTGTCATTGAGAGTGCACGACCATAATAAAAAATAAATACAAAACTCACTGTATTGTCTGTAAAAACGAAAATAAAATAACTAACTACAGTCCACCAGCAGTTTCAATATCAAACAATGTTGTCTTAATATATATAATAAAATTTGTTTGTTAGATTTTTACAAAGAGCTGCTTGGGAACGAATTATTCAACTATTATTTCAAATGAAATTTTAACAGTTAAACTTTCATTGATAACGTCAAAGTTTATGTAACGAAAATCTCAATTGTCACAAAAAGAAGAGCCAAATATGCTTCAAATTAATTAATTAATATGTTTTCTTTATGTAAAAACTGTGATTTTAGTTATCTAGACCTTAAAGTTGCCAAGGAATAAAATTATATAAATTCTAGTTTAACAAAAATAAAAGAGTAAGAGTACCTAAACCATAGCATCTTATCTACCTGTGATACATCATTGCAACAAGAAAAATGCGCTTAAGTTAAAAATGCGAAAATCCAATACGATGCTTCTAAATTAAAAAAAAGTTGAACATTGTTTCTCCGCCAAGTTAAACGTCAATTCTATCTAATACATATTTAAGTTCCTCACAAATCAAATTAAATCTCCACAAAAAGAAAAAAATATATATTTTTTTTAATTTTTCATAGATAACTTCAGAACGAAAATAAGTAAGACAATTTCACTTTTGTATGTTTTCCGCCATGAAATAGCTTTCTAATCTCACTAATTCTCCCTAACTTAATGAAGATTTCCATTTCATGACTCGCAAAACAAGCACCCTGTATTATTTACGTGTTTTACCAAATATCTATCAATTATGCCAAAGAAATATAGAAAAGTTGGTCATATAATTACCTAATTTTGTTTATATACCTAATTATGAGTCCCAAAGCCCTTTACAAACATGTGTTCTTGCGGCGCATAGTGACCCCGCTCCATGTAACGCTCTG